ATATATGAAAAAAAGATTATTTACGTACAAAATTATAAATAAATTTTAATTATTAAAAATTAAAAACTAAATAATTAATATTTTTTAAGTAAAATATGTAAAAAATTATATATAAATAAATTTTTATTTTTTTTTATACTATTTAAAAAAACAAAAAAAATTAATAATCTCGATAATTTTTTTGTGGTGGCACTGTGGCAGTAACCAGTTAGCCATGCTACCCGACAATAGTATGGTAGATGATTGATCGCATTAATTAAGTTGACCATCGGGAAGAAAAAGGATTTGAAATTCGGAATAAAAAAAAAGGGATAAAAATAAAAAGCTGACTCATAAAAGACTGGAAGCTGTAAGACTTTCTTTGGTTGCGTGCAGTTTTGGTCAATCAGCATTAATTCTTGACCTATTAAAGAAAAGAAAGACTATACAGAGAAAAGTGAATTTGATCCTTTTTTTTTTTTTTCTTTTTTTTCCTGCTATTTTATCTTTTAAAAGCATCTACACGCAAAGGCAGTGGATTTTGAGTCTCACCCAAGAACACTTGTCCGACATTCTCATTCCTCTTTGGTTTTTAAGGTTCCATCAATTTTTATGTTTTAGTTGGCAAACTGTTACCGTAATCTGTAATCATGTCGCAGTCTAATTGGGAAGCCGATAAAATGTGAGTGTAACGTAAACGCATTTTTCATTTTGGTGTTTCATTGATCTTATTTTGTTTTTAAGGAGTCCAGGAGGGAATTTCTTAAGTTCTTGCAATGGGGTTTTTGTTTCGTTGTTGTTCTTGTGCTTTTTCTGTACCGTGTAATTGGTTAAATGCTTTTCTTACATTTTTTCATTGTTGGGTTCTTTTTGTTGGTGTGGTTTGTTGATGGGTTTTGCTGCTTTAGCTTTGTGGTTCCTGTTTGGCTTCCGGGTGTTTGTCAGATTCTCTTAAGAAACCGTTTATGAATAGTAATGTGGTATGTGGCTCTGTTTGGCCTAGGGTTTTCATTTGTAACTTTCGTCTTGAGTCTTTTTATGATCTTATGCTTGCTTTTCTCCTTGCTTTACGTAGATTCTTGAGTTGTTTCCGTGCATTCTTTTTTCTCCAAAGTTTTCTTGAATTTCCATTTGGTTGTCCTGGGAAAATTAGAAACAAGTGGGGAGGATTTATTTATTTTTAACTTAAAAGGGTGACCTTTTATCCCCTCTCTTTGCAACATAATGGTGAATTGAATTTAGGTTTTAATAATTAATAGAATCACATCTTATTACGACAGCTGTTTTTTGTTTATGTTCCTTGGTCTCTTGAATATTAATGTTTGTGGTAGCTACTGGTTTGATAGAGTTGTTTTTCCGGGATTTTTCAAAAGGGAAATTTAGATACCTTTCTGTTCATCTACTTCTCTTTATCTTATTAGCAGTAGAATGCTGGGTTTCTGTTGATTTATGCTTTTATGTTTTGCAATCTCACGACTTCTGTGTCTGGTATGCTTCAAACTATCTAACTTTTGGCAATTTGTACTCTTTTACTGCTTCCGAGAATAGGTTGGATGTCTACATATATGACTATCTGATAAAGAGGAAATTACATGCTTCTGCAAAGGCATTTCAGTCTGAAGCAAAAGTATCCACTGATCCCGTAGGTAGGAATGTCTAAAGCAAAGGCAAAGAAGACTGTAATTGAAATGCAATATAATATTATTCTTGTAGAACATTCTTGATTTTAATTTGTCTGCTCGTTATCCAGCTATTGACGCTCCTGGTGGTTTTCTATTTGAATGGTGGTCTGTGTTTTGGGACATTTTCATCACTAGGACAAATGAGAAGCACTCAGAAGCTGCTGCTTCTTACATTGAGGTCTGTTTTTTGAGTTTTTCTGGCATTGGCTACTGGTAATAGAGGTCTGTCAAGCTTTTGGCCATTTTCGCTCAAGCTTACCTTTTTTGCATTTCTTGGTATACAACCTAGCATTTGAACGTAATCTCGTATTTAGCTCATCATAACCAGTGACAGCACACTGTGATAACTATATTCTGACAATAGGAACTTAGTCCATGTTGAGCAGGCCTAGGATTGATATGCTTCCAATTGATGCTGCTATTTGCCCATACAGTATCTTCTACATGTGTTATACTAGAACTTACTAGACCTTCTATTGAGAGGCTTAATATCTTAATGGTCTTAATATCCTTTGTATGGTTTTTTTCTCAACATCTCTGTAATGACACCTCTTTGGAAAGTTTATATTGTTGAAGAAGCCTTAGTTTCTTTAAACTTATTAATAATTCATTGGTTTAAGATGACAGAACTTACCCCATTTCAGGTCTCCTTGAATATGGCACTTGGGGAATCTGAATTCTGTATTAAACAAAATCCTTAAGCATCCCTGGGTGGTTATACTGTTATGTGGAAAATTTTCAGTTCTAGTCTTTAGTTGTCTTATAAAATGCATATTGTAGAGGGATAGTTGATTTCCTGCTGTCTAATTAATACAAATAAGAATGACAGACTCAAATGATGAAGGCTCAAGGATTGCAGCAGCAGCAGCAACAGCAACAAAATCAGAAGCCTCAGCAGAATCAGATGCAGCAGCTGTTGCTGCAACGGCATGCTCAGCAGCAGCAGCAACAACAGCAGCAGCAGAGTGAAGGACCACAGATACTTAATGGAATGGTAAACGGGCTTGTTGGCAATGATCCCCTTTTGAGACAGAGCCCAGCAACTTCAAATGCCTTGGCAACAAAAATGTATGAGGATACATTTAAGATTCCACTCAAGAGGGATCCCATGGATGATGCTGCTCTGAAGGTATTAAGTTCATATTGGACTAATGAAACAGAGAACTTTTCTTTTCTATTCCATCTTTTTCTCTCTTCATTTCTTTGATACCAGATAGGTATACAGCAAAGGTTAGGTGACAATGTGAGCCAGCTGCTAGATCCTAATAAAGCCTCAACTTTAAAAGCAGCTGCCGTTGATGGCCAGCCCTCAGGGTACATATTATATTATCTTAGATTTTATTTTTGTGAGAACTTTAATAGCATGCGTTAATTTCCTCCATGCTTCATTTGTTTGGTGTGTAAATTGGCAGTACCTAAAATTCTCCTTTTTAGGCAAACACTGCATGCTACACCTGGAAGCATGCCAAGAAACCTGCAGCAAGTTAAAAATCGGGGCCCACAACTTCCAGTTTCCTCACAGGTACTTGATTTTCATTTTTCTAATATATAATATCTCTGTTTTAATTTCTATGTTTCTTTCAAAGCTTATGTATACTCTTTGTGCTGGAACAGGATTTTAGGAGTGATATTAATTCAATGGTGAATTCTAGAGCTGCTGGTGCAGAGGGATCATTGATTGGTGTTCCCGGTATTGATTTATCCTTGTTTAGAATAAGAAATTCTTTTTTGTACTACTTATTAGTCTTGAGTGTGAAAAACTAACTCTTGGACAAGGGAATCTTTGAATGCATCATTACCTTTAAACTATGTTCTGGTCCAAGGATTCTTACAAAATTAGGCTAGTAAATTGTTCCCTAGAAAAAACATTGGTAACAAGACCAGATTCCCTCAAAAAGTACCTTTATTAACGAAATATGACACCATTAAAGGTGTGTTTGAACTTAGTTAAAGAGACAAATCTTTTAGAAGTAGAAGAAACTTTGATGCTTGTACCAGATTAAGGAATTCATATAGAGCATGGTGAGACTAAATTGCCTGAGTAAATGATCTGTGTTAGGTGAAATCTGAAGAAACTACTAGGAAGTACAACTTGTGCTTGTTGATGTCGTTTTTTAAACTGTGGACCTTCAATATGGAACTCTTATGGAATGGGGTTAGAACTTTTGGTTTAAGGTCTCAAATTAGTTGGAAGTTATCCTAATTCATCTTTCTCATCTAGGGAAAAAAAAAAAAAAAACCCCAAAACCTTTGTTCAGCAAGACCAGTTTTTGCTTTTATTGACAAATGACTCCCACTAGTCTTCTTGTGTAAAATGTGTTTCTGCTGTTACTATTTAAGTTATAAACTCATTGTCTGTAATTACATACTAAAGAACTGCATGATGAATCGGAAATCGTCATTCTAGGGATGCAAATTGGGCCATTTCATGTTAATATGTATATATCAACTATCACTTTTATGTTCTTTAGGGTCAAATCAAGCTGGTGGGAATTTAATGCTGAAAGGATGGCCATTGGCAGTAAGTCTTTCAGCTTGTGGTTGATATGTTCATTTTATAGTTCCTTACACTTACAGGTTACAATTGGTGCATTTGGTTAATTGCAACTTCTCTATAAAATGCTTCTCATCCAACTGAGTATCCATATGTTGGTTTCGTTTGTGAAAAGAAAAAATTTGGTTTGTTGAATAGGTCAGGTGGATTGTTCTAGTCAGGGACTCAAGTTCCTTAATTAAATGCATTTATTTATCTCGTTCTGAAGGGTAATGTTTGTACTCTGATTTCTCATGCCAGAATTTCATCACCTATCCTTGGCTTCTGCAAGACCTCTATCTAAACTGTGGCAATAAGAATATATGGCTTCTAGGCTGAGTTATTTTAGGGCCTCACCATTATGTTGTTCATGCAGAATTTCCAAAAATAACTTTGTTGAAATAGCAGTGGCAATCTAGATATTTTGTATAGCTGCAATCTAGATATTTGCATATTTCTTTAGGTTGAGTTCTGACAATAACTGTTGACACTTCTGTGGAAGACTCATCCAACGTCCTTTTATCAATGAAGTTTGTGGCTGATATTTTGTACCATACTTTTTCTTTTTTAAAATGTTTTCACGTTTTCAGGGTCTGGATCAGCTTCGGCCTGGGCTTCTTCAGCAGCAGAAGTCTTTGATTCAGTCCTCTCAGGCCTTCAATCAACTTCAACTGCAGCAACAACTTTTGCTTCAAGCACAGCAAAACTTGTCATCACCTGCTGCCAATGACATGGAATATGGAAAACTGAAAATGCTTCTCAACAATCGGAATATAGTTCTTGGGAAGGATTTCCAATTAAATCCCATTGGTGATATGGTCCCAAATGTTGGATCACCTTTGCAAGTTGGCTGTCCTGTATTTCCTCATGGAGACTCGGATATGCGTATGAAGGTAGCTTTTTTGTGTTTGTGCTTAAAGTTAACAAACATTATCCTGTTTTGGCTGTTATATCTTCCTCTCTGCTCATACATGTTCTCAGTTACAGCAGCAACAACTGCAGACCACCAATCAACGACAAATTGTTCAAAATCTACTTTCCAGTCAACAGTCTCAGAACTCAAATCAACATCTTCAGCAGCAAGATAAAATGATTGGTACTAGCAGCATGACAATGGATGGGAGCATTTCTAATGCCTATCACGGAAATGATCAGGTTTTAATATTAATTGGCCTTATGCTTTTAAGTTCTGCAATCTATACTTCTTTTGTAAATCATTTCTTTCCAGTTATCTGCTTCAAGAACAAAAAGTCTCCTGTTGTCCAAGCACATTGTCACATTTAAAAGGTTTGTTTTTAAAGATAGTGTGTTGTTATCATCAAACTTGTTTTCAGTTATTGGGTAGTATGAATCAACACTACCAAAGAAAAGAAGTTTCGGAGCCGGAATATGTTCTATTTTTACTTGCGATTCTTGTCCTGTTCTCTACCTTATCCTTGGCTGTTGCTATTGTTGTTGAGGCTTCAGGTGTTTATAATGATCTTCATTTCTAATTGATGTAATCCTGCTTATGTACTAACAAAGTTCTTTATCCATGTACAAGGCTCCAAAAAACCAAATTGGTCGAAAAAGGAAGCAGCTGGGGTCAACTTCAGGTCTTGCTAATAGCTCAGGAACTGCAAATACTACTGGACCATCACCCAGTTCACCTTCATCACCTTCTACTCATACACCTGGAGATAACATCTCCATGCCCACCTTGCCGCAAAATGTTGGTTCCCCTAAGTCTTTACTTATGTTTGGTTCTGATGGTTTGAGTTCTCTTACACCAGCTCCAAATCAACTGGTAATGTGCTAGCCCTTTTTTTCTCTTTTAATATATTTTATTTTATGTGGAATGATGTGATTTTGACTTTCTTTTTCATTAATCTTTTTCTAGGAAGGTCATGACACAAAATGAGTTGGTAAACATCATTAACTTTTTGGGCCAAGTTATCATTGACCGCATAGTCTTGAGGTTGAGAAGTAAAACTTTAAAAGTGAAACCTAATGTTTGTAATCCAGTTTCCTTTGTGTATCTGTTCAGTTTTCAAGAATTTCAACTTTGACACCAATTGTTCTGCTTACAGCTTGCTACAGTTGGTGTTTTTGTTATTTTGCCTACCATGATTAGTCTGGACTTCTTTCATTCTGGAGTGCATAAGATATCAAGATTTTATATATTTTACTCATCTCTGGTGTGCCATTGGAGGATGTTTACAAACCACTAGCACTGCTTTTGTCATTAACACTTGATTCTGCAGTTGTATAATTTGTGATATAAATCACAGGCTGATATGGACCAGTTTGTGGATGATGGGTCCCTAGATGACAATGTAGATTCTTTCCTATCTCCTGATGATACAGATCCAAGAGATAGAGTTGGTAGGTCTGCTGATGGCAGCAAGGGTATGAGTTAGTGTTTCCTTTGTGGTTGATTGGATTCCTGCACTCATGCATGTAGGTAGATGGATTGAGTTTTGATATTTAATTGTAACCAGGCTTTTCATTTACGGAACTTCGTCGGATTCCTGCAAGCACAAGTAAAGTTGAATGTTGTCACTTTTCATCGGATGGAAAGTTGCTTGCCACTGGTGGACATGATAAGAAAGTAAGGTCTAGGTTGACTTACTACAGTTTAAGTTGAATTGTTTGTTTCTGAAGAACACAATATAAACCTGTTTTACTTGATAAGATAATTTAAGAGCAATTTGAATTGAAGTTGATTTCTAGAGAAGCCAAGATGGACCTGTTTGCTTGATTATGTTGTGGCACAGGCTGTACTATGGTGCACAGAGTCTTTTGCTGTCAAGTCAACACTTGAAGAGCATTCTCAAGGGATTACTGATGTCCGCTTCAGTCCAAGTGTGTCAAGACTTGCTACATCTTCAGCTGACAAAACCGTTAGGATATGGGACGTTGATAATGTTAGTAAGCATTATCTCTTCTTTTACAGGGTCATACTGATTGTTGCAAGTACATTTTTATGAACTTTACAATGCCATAACTCAAATTAATATCTCATCAGGCATTTTCTTATATTCTTGTTATGTTCAAGTATACTGTTAAATATGATTATACTTCTCCTTCATGTCTTTCAATCATATTTAAGGATATGAAGTTTATATATATATATATATATATATAAATTCAACTTCCTGTCTTATCTGCATCGACCTGGTTATCAAATGCTGTGGTGTTTATTACTATTTTTTATTTTGGTTACTTTTAGGAGCCCTTTCAGCACATTTTGTTAAGAAACTCTCTGGCTTCCGATCTGTACTTTTCTGTCTTACAAATACGTGATCCTACTCTGCAGCCAGGATATTCTCTTCGTACTTTTGTTGGACATTCTACAACTGTCATGTCATTAGACTTCCACCCAACTAATGAGGATCTCATCTGCTCCAGTGATAATAATAATGGGATACGATACTGGAGTATCAAGAATGGTAGCTGTGCCGGAATTGTCAAAGTACAGAACCTTATTCTATTTATCTCTAGAAAATTTTTTCTGTCTCCATTGTTTTTTTCTTTTTCTATAATCCTTTCCTCCTTTTGCTCTTCAGTCTTCCTGAACATTTTCAACAAAATTTCCCCATTTTGTCAGGGTGGTGCGACCCAGTTGAGATTTCAACCACGTAATGGGAGGATTTTTGCAGCTGCTGCTGATAATTTTGTGTCCATACTTGAGGTTGAAACCCAATTATGCAGTGCTAAATTACAGGTAATTTTATTATGTCTTCTGATTCCTTTATTGTCAGCGGATATTCTAGTCAGAGAGGTTTTATATTTTTATTTATTTTATCGGTTCAAGTTGGAGTTTTCAGTGCCATTTTAGGAATTGAAGAATTATATTTCATCTAATTTCTTTTCCTCCATTATTTGCTTGGGGGAGCCTCCCTTTCCGTTAAAGGTTACATGGAATAGCTGAGCACTCATGTTCAAAAGACCTTATAATGCCATGTGCCATTGCAGGGTCATAAAAACCTAGTACATTCTGTGTGCTGGGATCCATCTGGGGAGTATCTGGCCTCTGTGAGTGATGAATTGATTAAAGTGTGGAATGTCGGCTCTGGTAGCAAAGCAGAATTCATTCATGAATTGAGTTGCACTGGCAACAAATTTCACACCTGTGTTTTCCACCCTACTTATCCTTTGTTGTTGGTCATTGGCTGTTATGAGGTTAGTTGTTGGTATTGGTTCTTTAAATAATCGAATTAAGTTGCACAATCTTCATTTGTTTTTCTCCCTTTGGTTCTCGGTTTGTTTTGTGATCACAAGCATGAAATTCTTTGTTTCTTTCTGTAAAAGCCACTGTCATACCTTGTACATGTTTGAATGTGAGCATAGAGCAATGAATTGCCAACACTCCTTTGCTTAATATACACGTTTCTCATTTTTCATAAGCAACAAGTTTTTCTTCAACTCGAGTCAAGTTGATTACTGCTCAACTAATTGGTTTCATTTTCTTTACTGAGCTGAAGTTTTAATCTTTCCAGACCCTGGAGCTTTGGGACATGACTGAGAACAAGACAATGACACTGCATGCTCACGACCAACTAGTTTCTGCATTGGCAGTATCTAATACTAATGGTTTGATAGCCTCAGCTAGCCATGACAAGCATGTCAAGCTATGGAAGTGAGCTGTCTCTCTCGTTTTTGCTGACCATTTTGCTAATAGTATAATTTCTTCAGTCCTCATATGTATCTACTTTCCAACCACATGGTTTTTCTGACGGTACCCTTTTGTCGTCGTTCTATGTGACAGACTGTTTTGACAGGCAAAGCCTTATTTCTTTTTCTTTTGTTCCAAGCTGGTGTTCTGGAAAGGAGAAACTTAGGCAGATGAAGTTCAGTAGCTTATGAAGTGATTCGTACAGAAAATATATTGTGCATGTCATATATATACAGTAGTTCTAGTGTTTCTAAATGAACATTTTAGAAATGAGAAATCTTTATCTTCCTCTCAATGAAGTTATTATCATGGCTCAAATTCTTTACATGGTCTTGTTCGCACTGAAAGAAAGCAAGCAAGCTATGGGGCTGGCCTTCCCCAGGGTTTCAGTGCCGCTGGTGGGAGCTTAGCCCTCCCTCTTTGTGCGTGTGGGCTCTACTTAATTTTCCATTTTAGTCCTTATCTAGTTGCTCGGTGAAGGTGAGAAGGTCGACAGTTGAAAGAGATCGCAGCATCTAAATGAGGAGTGGGTAGATGGGGCTTTGGAAACCTTGGCTTTTGGTAAAGGGTGGCGTGGATTAGGGTGGTTTTATGGCTGGGATTGGGTGGCTTGCTCAAAGTGGTATTCGTACTGGCAGAATCGTGAGACGAGGAGGCCAAAGTTGGCTTGTGAATTGGCAAAATAAAGCCGGGGATTTGGCGCTTCCAAGGAGATTTGGTTAGATTGGCAGGGTGGATAGTGATAGCTAGGTGGCTTGAAGACAACCCAGTGGTGCTCAACAGCAAGGGCTTGTTTTATGAAGCTCTTCCTGGGCGGTGATTAGTGGTGGGTGTGATGTAGAGAAGTTGACTTGTTTTCGGATGGTTGGTTTCAATGGAGAAAGTTTGGGTGGTGGCTGGTTTTCTGAGCAAGTTTGCTTGGTATCTCATGTGAGGATTTGTGTGGAGACAGATTTAGTTTGGGCTGGAGTCAAGAATTTGAGGTTGTTGTGGAGAAGGTGCCCCACAAATGTGATTATGAATTTATGATCATCGATTTTAGAATGCCTTTCTCACCTAAGGAGTAGGGAAATTGTCGCAATTGAATTTTTGTAAAAAATGGCAGTTTTGAAACATGAAAAAGGTTTTGCAGGTGTTCAAGGTCCATGTTAGGGTAAAACAAAATGGTTAAGTTACTATGATCTCAGGTGCATTATGGTAGTATAACTAATACTCAAGAAATAAGAGCAATAACTAGAATCATATCTAGATTTTTATTTTTTATTGTTTCTTTTTCAAAAAAATTAGTGTTCAGGTTATTTTATATTTAATTTAAAATATTAGTAGTAATATATGAAAACATCTAAATACTAAAGTGTCTCTGTGTAAATAGAAATTCATTGTAATATCTTTATATCTTTTATTAATACAAGGCCATGCTGATTTTCTTTCTCAAAACAAAGAAAAAAAGAAAAAGAAAAAAGAAAATGACTTTATGGGGCTGGAGACTCAAAACAGGAAATTGATGGTCAACAAAGACTTTATGGTAATTCCAATTTCGAATTTCAACTCGGCTTATTTGATGAACCTCGAAAAGCATTGTGAATCTTAATAAGGCTCCACTTGTTTATTCAGTGCTTTTGACTTTCAATACAAATGCCTCTCATACGAATTGGTAGTCGATTTGCCCCTAATTCAGATTTCTGAAATTGTGGATTTATTGAATTTCTTTGATCATCGGTGTTTATATCTGGTGTGGGGCTTGCATTTGCGAGGGAACTGTCTATATGACGTTGATAACATGGATGATGAGGCCTTCTTTTGAGATGGTGAAGGGTAGTTTTATTGATGAAGAACAATACAATATGGTTATGTCACTGAGGATTTTGAATATCTGGGTTTCAATGATTATTTTCTTGCGAAAGAATCTCTTACTACCATGGAGTTGGTTGAGTCTGGTTTGAGTCATCTTTCTGCTGCCGGGGTTTGTGGTTGCAATTGTCCACGGTCAACCAGAAGGACAACCTGATGCAATCAGAGTTTGAAGGCCAAGCGCTGGAACTCCCTTTGGTTGAAAATGGGCAATCAACCCTCTCAATCTTAGGTTCCTTCTTTGGCATTTATCTATATAATATATGAGTCAAGATTTATTCACGCAAATTTTATACATTATAATTATATAAAATCTTAATTATTTATTTTTTTTATTTTTAATAATTGAAATTTATTAACTTTTTATCATATTTATTAAATATAATTATCTTTTTCATTTAAAAAATTATAATAAATCTTAATTATTGAAAGTAAGAGATGGATAGTTAATATTTTATTGTAAGTGTAATGTATAAGGATTATATGCAAGTGGATATATATATCAAATTCAAAAACGTGTGGAGTCAGTGTTTCATGTTGCTAGTACGTTAACAAAGGCTTGCCTAGATATAGGGTTGGTCCTAAGTTATTGTCTATAGTTATTTGTCTTCCTTTTTGTCTGCAATGTAAAAAAACTACCAAAACATGTTGTCTAGTTTGGTGTTTGGTCTATGGTGATGGAGGTAGTCTGGTGGTAGAAGGGGATATGATTGGAAGGGTTGATGAATCTATAGAGAAGATACTATGGAGTAGGCTGTTGGAAGGGAAGTTGGATATGGAAGTGGTTCTCTCTTCATTGGAAGATGCTGACATTTCTCTTAGGTAGGGCTACCATTCCAAGCACTATTGGGTGATTTTTCATCAATCTTTTGGCTGCTTATTTTTGTTGGAGTTCCAAGGAAAGGTTAGTTTATTCAAGCAGGTTGCAAAAGAAGTTACTCTGGCCTTCATGGGTACTAGTAGCAGTGATATTTTGTTGGCCAAAAAATGGAAAAACACGCATCTCAAGTGGTATTAACGTCATATATTAACGGTTAGAATAACTAGTATTTTTATGATACAAGTTAAGAATATTTTTTTAATATTAATTATTATTAAAAAATAAAATTTAATATTTATTTAATTAATTATCTAATTAAAATAATACATGCAATATTAATGATAAAATTAATATCAAATTTTGTTATATCTTCTTAATGCTCCCACTACCTTATCTATTACTCCAGGTACTAAACCTTGGTATTTTGATTCTGGTTGTTGTAATCACATGTCTTCAACTACTACTCATTTCTTTTCAATGTCACCAATAATTCCTTTCTTGACATTTATTCTGCTGATGGCTCTCCTATAAATGTTAGTCACATTTGCAATATTTCTACAAATTCATTGACTTTACCAAACGTTTTCTTGGTTCTAAAACTTAGTTATAATCTTTTATCTATTGGTCAATTGTGTGATCTTGGTCTTGAAGTAACATTTTCTACTCATGGTTGTCATGTGAAGGACCCACAAACAAGACAACTTCTTGGAATTGGTTGCAAGGTGGGGCGTATGTTTGAGCGCAATTATCTACACATTCCTCATCATCAAATGGATACACCATCATTTCCAAATGACTGATTCATCCAAACCCTAGTTTGTGCTGTTGAATTAGAGTATTTACAAATTCCATATCAACAAATCTTCCAAGCCTGTGCTGCTACTAACATTTCTCCTCTTAATTTATGGCACTCATGACTTGGACACACCTCAATCGGTAAACTCCGTCCTCGTATCTCTCGTGGTTTATTAGGATCTGTTCCAAATGAATCCTTACATTGTGTGTCATGTCAATCTGCAAAACAACCAACTTTATCTTTTTCTAGTAAGCATTCTCTTTCTGTTGCTTCTTTTGATCTCGTGCATTCTAATGTTCGGGGTCCATCTCCGACACCTATCATGGGGGGTTTCAAGTACTTTGTGTTATTTATTGATGTTCATACTCGTTTTACCTGGATATATCTTATGAAAAATCGCGTTGAGTTACCACAAATTTATATTGATTTTAATACCATGGTCAAAACCTAGTTCTCTAAAATTATTAAAGTTTTGAGCACTAACAATGCCACTGAATATGTTAGTACTAAACTTCAATCCTTTCTGAAAGAATAGGGTACATTGGCACAACAATCTTGTCCTTACACTTCTCAACAGAACAGGTGAGCCGAACATAAACACAAACACATCCTTGATTCTGTTCGTGCTCTGCTCATTTCGTCTTCTTGTCAAGAGCAATTTTGGTACAACTGTTTATTTCATTAATCAAATTCCATCATCAGTCATCAATAATAAGTCTCCATACGAATGTTTACATGGTATTCCTCCTGCTTATGATCTTCTTAAGGTTTTTGGTTGTGCTTTGTTCTTCTTCCACCTCATGAACATAACAAGCTAAAGCCTAAAGCTCGATTATGTTGTTTTTTGGGTTATGGGATTACATATAAAGGATATCGTTGTTGGGATCCTGTGTCACAAAAACTTTGAGTCTCACGTCATGTTGTCTTTTGGGAACACACTATGTTTTCCTCGTTATCAAACTTCCAGGTGTCATCTTCTGGGCAAGCTCCACTTTTTACTAATCCTTCTATCGAGCTATTTCCTAGTGACTCTAAAGCAGATACATTTGATTGGCTTCATGATGCCTCTCCACATGCTTCACCTAGGTCTATAAAAGATGCTCTGCCTATTGGTAATGCATTAGACAATGGTGAGTCTTCTTCCCTTCCCGCTTCTGTATCACCTATTGGATCTAAACCTGTTGAGCTCGAAAATGAGATCCTTAATCCACCTTCAAGTTGTCCTACTTGGGTAAGAAATCCTTCTAACTATCGTTATGATTATCATTGTTTTCCTACTATTACCTCCTTACATGAGTCTCAATCCTATCAAGAGGCCTCTTCTAACCTTTTTTTGGTAGCAAGCTATGTAAGATGAATTACAAGCTATGTAAGATGAATTACAAGCTCTTAAGAAAACTCGTATATGAGATTTAGTTGATCTTTTTGCTGGAAAGCCTCTGGTATGTTGTAAATGGGTGTATAAGATCAAAACTCGATCTGATGGTTCTATGGATTGTTATAAGGCTTGTTTCGTTGCTAAAGGATTTACTGAAGAATATGGGATTGATTATGAGGAAACCTTTGCACCTGTTACTCGTCCTACTTCAATTCGTAGTTTGATTGCTATTGTTGTTGCAAAAGCATGGAAATTGTTTTACATGAACGTGCAAAATGCCTTCCTAAATGATGATTTTGCAAAGGAAGTTTACATGCAACCACCTCTTGGACTTGAGCATCCTCCAAACAAAGTTTGTCAATTGAAGTGAGCTCTGTATGGTTTGAAACAAGCACCTCAAGCTCTGTTTGCCAAGTTTAGCATCACCATAAGTGAATTTGGTTTTACTTCTAGTCTTCATGATACTGTGTTGTTCATACGCAAGACTAATCATGGTATGGTTCTACTACTTCTTTATGTAGATGATATGATCATTATTGGGGATGATATTTCAGGTATTCATGATCTTAAGCAATTTCTCAGTCATAAGTTTGAGATGAAAGATCTTGGTGTTTTGAGTTATTTCTTGGGACTTGAGGTCACTTCTTTTGACGATGGTTATCTTTTCTCTCAAACAAAGTATGCCTATGATCTTATATCTAAAGTTGGACTCATTAACAGTTTGACTGCATCTACTCCTCTTGGGCCAAACGTTCGACTTACATCTATTGATGGTTCTCCATTAGCTAATCCTAGTTGCTACAGATAATTGGTTGGAAGTTTGATTTATCTCATTACAACGCGACTAGACATGGCTTATGCAGTTCATGTTGTTAACCAGTTTATGGCTACATCTTGCTCCACTCATTATGCAACAGTACTTCGCATTATTTGCTATAATAAAGGTACCATTTTTCATGGACTTCACTTTTCTACTCATTCATCTCTTGAACTTTGTGCTTACTTTGATGGTGATTGGGTTGGAGACCCTGATGATCGTAAATCAACCACTGGCTATTGTCTTTTTCTTGGTGATTCCTTAATCTCTTGGTGTAGTAAGAAGCAGACAGTTCCATCACATTCTAGCACAGAAGCTGAATATCGAGCACTTGGAGACACCATATCAAAGTTCCTTAACTTACATTAGTTACTAGAAGATATGGGTGTTCCTCAATAGCCTGCTACTCAACCGCCTACTACTAATCTTTATTGTAACAATTAGAGTGCCATGCAAATTGCTCATAATGATGTCTTTCATGAATGCACTAAACACATTGAAGTCGATTGTCACTTTATTCACCATCATGTTGCACAAGGAACTATTCATTTGGTTTTCATTGGCTCCGCTAATCAACCAGCAAACTTTTTCACCAAGGCTCATTTTTCTAGACGTTTTCGTACTCTTTTTTTCAAACTCAAGTTGATTTCATCGCAATGACCTTAAGTTTGAGGGAGATGTTAAGATGTGAACACATTTATTGTAAATATTTTATACCTTAAAATATTTTATTTATAAATACCTATATATAAATTATTGTATACACAACATTATTCAAGAAAACAATAAACCTCTTTTAAGATATTTTTCCTTCTTTTCAGTTTCTAACACTACTCATGTAAAAAAAAAAAAAAAACTATTCAAAACTTTGTTTATAAAAACTTGTCACAATTTTTGGAGGTAGGAGTCTAACAGGAGTCCTAAGACTCGGGTGCACCCAACACAGCCACTTGTCTGAAAGCCCGGCTGCAAGACCACTATTTTAACCTTTATTTTCTCCTCAATCCCGAAAAGTTTCGTCCTCGTGTCGTGTCCCCAGAAGACGGCTTCTGTGACTGGGAAAACCAATTCCCGGCAGCTGAGGCACCACCAGGTGCACTTGGCACAAGATCTCTAACAGTGTGTGCCGTCGACACTTAAAACCCATCCAATGGCTGGAAGACCTATCAATGCAGGTAATTCCATCTACCTGTTGCCTTGATTCC